AAAGTAACGATGAATTGGCAACTGAGTGAAACAGCTTTTCAGGCGATTCAACGAGAGCAGTTGGCGTCGTTCGTCTATGCACCCCCTACCCGCTGCGTACTTCGATTTCCCAACCAATCACATACAATGAAATTGCACATTTGTTGTAACCATGGGGAGGGGGGAGATGCATTTGGACATTCCAGCAGACGGCAAAGGAGATTAATGAAGCCCTGCCTTTGAAGTCGCGGAGCTATAAGACAGTTGAAAGGAGGCGGTGGTTTCACACAATGCGCTGTCAGAATTTTTCTGACACGCGTTGTCAATAACATGAGTCACGAACAGATTTATCCTAAGCAGTAAATAAATATAGCAACTAGAGTCCTTATCATCATGTTGAGCAGTGATTTAACAAAACCGGTATAAAAGAACAAAGGTTACAGGCATTTAAAACTAACCTGTATACACCGGCACATCAAAATCGTGCCTATTAAAAACAGCCATGGAGTTTGCATGACCACTAAATTTTCCGAAGCACCAATCTTCAATTGTCTAGTGGGTTGCCTCAACAGTGCCGATTTGCCGATATTATTTAAACAGTTTGCTGTGATTCGTGCTTATTCACACCCCTTGATCCGGTCGCTCCGTCTCCGACACAGGGTTCTCCTTTTTGAAGCATGTCACCAGCCGTGCGGATCCTCAACTCCCCACTCATTCACACGGATGTTAGCACATGTATGACTCACACATCCGAGGTATAAATACACACGCGCAAACCCCACACACGGCACAACGACACCAACGTGGTTGAGCTCCGAAGTAAGCGGTTGTGTCCACGTCCTCTCCGATCTTTTCCTTCATCGCGCGTATCAGGGAAACGTAATCGGGCCAGGGTTAATTCCGTGGTCCCGGCGTGATTCAAGACCACATGCTGGGGCCCACGACAAGTTGTTGAAACGCCGAATGATTTGAATCGTCGACAGTGTGCGTCGCACGTCCAGACGACTCTCCTCTTCACAAATGGAATTACGGTGAACAGACCCTGCACTCTGCCCAAACAACCAATGTCTTGTCGACGTCTAGAGTCCGCTTCAAGCAATTGCTTCCCATCAGCCCGGATCGACGTTCAGCTGAAGACCGTTTCTGGATTCTAAAGATTACTTCGTCAATGTCACACAACTTGAAGGTGAAATGCACCACCAGCCATTGTGACTTTGTTTTCAATACGGCAATTTGCATCCTCCACAATCTAACACATCGTCATGTCATGATAATTCAATTTCACGTATTGGAATAGGACTGCGAGACGTAAAAAGCAGGTATGGGAGCATGTGCAATCACAAAAAGGCTGGCATTTGTTCAAGTTAATTTAACTTTTTTTTAACGAAACGCATGACTAGTGACCAAGGCAACTGATGGCGTCATGTGACAACAATCAGCGCTGTAAATATTTTCGTCCGACTCCAAATGTACCTTAACTAGGCCAATAAAGTGTTCTCGCCTTACACCTGGCATCCGCAGAATTGCATGCGTCAACTTCCAACAACGCGCTACGTCAACGCCTAGAGGCAACCAACTCGCTTACATCGTCTTTCAGGGCCTTGATTTGTTGCGCAAAGTTGGACACAGTCGTCTGGAGAAGCTTGGCAGTGTTGAAGGCGTCGTCGACCTGCAGATGGATGCCCTGAACTTGACTGTGAACGCGATCCAGATCGTCACTTATCTCCGCTCTGATGACGGACATTGCCTCCAATTCCTGTTTAGTGCGAGCAACGTAGGCGTCGAAATCTGTCGACATTGGCAGAAAACAAACACACGCATAATCCTTAGGATAATTTGGAAATTGGTAGTTCAATGTCTGAAACTTCACCGTATTCAAATGTTCAGATCTTGAACCGCAAAATAAACCCGTTATTTTCATAGTTTCACAAGCGTCGCTTGGGCTGTGTGCTGCCGTGCGGTTGAAATAAGTGCCTTTCAAAACGTGACCGCGTGACTTGTGTTATTTGGATGCCTTTAATGTCACAGCGACCTGAGCTAATCCTATCGTCCAGGTAGTTCAAGATCATAAAAAAAAACCCACCGCTGGTGTGTGTGCGTGCCAAAATCCCCCTCTCTCTCACACATATTTTCAAGAATGACCGGCATAAACTAGGTCAGGGTGGGGTGAACACGGGAATTACACTTTATAAGGACTTGCAAGCCCAACACGATACCGTGAGTCGTGTAAATAAATAAAAAGGCCATGCACAAACAAAGGCTAGAGCGAAGCCGCTGAAGAAGGCGACTCACTCTTGAGGTCATCCAGCTGTTGACGAGCCGTATCCACGGCGTCTTTGGCTGTTTGAACAGCGGCTTCGGATTTGTTGTGCAGTTGCTCCAGGCGTTCGATTATTCGCGCCTTCTCGTCAGCTACGGGCACTTGTCTGGCGAGAACTGTCCTCAATCGATCACGACTCTGACGAAGCTTCTCCATTCGATCCTCGATCGCGCCTGCCTCGGTCTCAAACATCTGTTCCAAGTCCTCGGACTAGAGAAATTGAAACAGCTGTAAAGATGCTGTTGAGAGTCATATTTATTTAATCTGATCGTTCCATCTCCGACACAGGTGTCCCCTTTTCGCAGCAAGTCGCCACCACGCGGATCCTCAACTAACCCCCCTTCACTCGGATATTCATCTTGGATTGTCCTCAAACCTAGGTCTCGATGTTAGCGCATGTATGACTTACACATCCGAGGTATAAATAAACACACGCAAACCCCACACACGGTACAACGACACCAACGAGGTTGAGCTCTGAAGTAAACTGTTGTGTGCACGTCCTCTCCAATCTTTTCCTTCATCGCGGGTATCAGGGAAACGTAATCGGGCCAGGGTTAGTTCCGTTTAGCAAATACCAGATCGTCGGTGATACTCTTGGATGATTCCCGACTTCACGTCTTCTTACTACTTGAGCATACCTTCCGAAATGCTGCTACGAGGCTTTTACACTGAAGTGGTGCGCATGGCAGAAACGGCGCCACGAAAATATCAACCGACACTGTTACTCAGTAGTGGGAATATCCTGTCACAAGTGAGACGGATCGGCGATGTCTAGATTGAAAGAGCGTGTTGGAATGGAGGCGCAGAGGAAGAAGTAGTCAGTTTGTTTGATTAGTAAGACATCTTCCATTTCAGTCGCTTGAACTCATCACTGATGCGTCGTAATTTGAGGCGTTGGCAGATTATGGAGCTAGTTCATCGCCTTAACAGCAGAGTTGACAAAACACAGCAGTTGAGTGAGTAAATTGGTGCTGCTGTTGGGAATTAACTCCTCGAAGTGGAATCTGCCACCGGGAACGCAAAGCTGGACGGGAAATCCAGCACAAATCGACGAGCTCAGATTTGCAGGATGCCGTAAGTACAATCGTGGTTGTCAGTTATGTGTGGAGCTGCTTCTGTTGAGGAAAACGATGTGGATCGAGCAGAGAATGATCGGAACTGCGATCCACGTATTTACGGAGCATGGATCATTGAAATGTGCGAGAGTAATGATGTAGAAGAACTCGATCTCCGTAAGTGAGATGCTGCGACGTTGAACGCGACCTGGAAGCGCGTCGATGAAGACATGTTGAAGAATGAAAGCTGTCTGATTGACGGTGTTCTCCAGTATTGATTTGAGGGTGATTGCTGGACGCACACATGTTATCAGCATTGTTAGTTGAAAGTGGGTGGAGACTGCCCACGTATGCAATCCCACGCGTTGTTGAAATGAAGTTGATTGTTGCCGGATTGATGCTGCTTGCTTTGGGATTATTTGTCTACAACTTAGTCGACGTATTTGAAATCCTGTTGATTTTTTGGTGTGTGTGTGTGTGTGTTTGTCAGCGCATGAGTGACACTAGACTAGAACACCGAGTTACTGCGGCACCTCTCGTATGGTTTAATGACCCCTGACAAAAATCGTGCGGGGAGGGAGCGGGTGTCCGGCCGCGTTGTGTTGTCAATAAATCAAACGCCCCGATGGTGGAGTGGGACAATGCGTGGACGTACTTATTCGTTCGATGTGGAGCGGACGCAAGATTTGGACGTGGTCAAGTTGGATTCACTGTGGTGGTGGGTTAGACGTGGCGCCGGCACTGGTGTGCGGCCTCAAGTGGACACAACGCCTAGCTCAGCGTGCGAAGACACAAGAGTCTACTTACCTGATATCCCTGTTTGTGTGACCAATCAGACTGCACTTGGTGATCGAAGGCTACTTCATTAAGGCGAGTGAGTTTGCATGAATTGTGTGTGTGTGCGCGAGTTTGGAAAGTGCCCTGCTTAGCCTTCATTGGCACCACTACGCATTCAGAGGTCAAGGCCACTCGGCAACGCTGAGTAAGTTCAGGTTGCGAGGCCGGACGTGGTCGTTAGGATTAGCCCACATTTCCACCAATCACCGTCTTGAACCGAAGTTCCCACTCACTCATGGGTAGTCATTGGTTGGTTTAGAGTTCTTGACATCTACAAGACCTGACCCCAATTGGTTTCTAGCAGTTCATCTCTACACCAGTCAGGCGGTGCACTGGATGAATTGCACAAGGCAAGAGATGTGGTGAGATTTTGAGAGATCTGGCGACCTGAGAGTCAGGATCGAGGTATATCGCTCGAAATATCGATTTCTACGAAGTGCCTCTTGACTCTGCCGCTACTTGGTGTTGGGTTGCCATGCCGATGTAATACAAATTGACATTTGAAATGCATTGATTTGCATGCAACCACCTTCACACATCCTGAAACCTTAGCTGACGTTCTTGACCAATTTTTTTCAATGTCTTGACTCAAATAAGTGATTCGTGCATCTAAGTCCTTCTCTTGGTGATTTGTGGTTTTTTTATGGTTTCCAGCTCGATGGGGGAATGAACTTGCCGTCGTGGATGTTCAGGAATCGGACTCAACGTGGGTTTTGCCTATGTGACATTATCGATTAAAGTTTCAGGCTGTAACTGGTCTAAACCAATGGGCTTCAAGCAGATGATGCACATATTAAGATCGTGGTATTGAGTTACGTGGTGATGCAGTATTCGGGACTGAACGCGGTCGTGATTTAAGCTGAAGGTGATATCAAAATGCATCTTTTTTTACTTATTTCTGCAGTGTGCAGTTTCACCTCTTGCAGGTCTTTCGTGATTGATTGTGCTCCAAATTACATCAAATTTCAGCCTAAGAATATTTGGTACCTCTGAGATAATACACACATGTACTTTGCCTATTTCCAATACAATGAATTGTCGCTTATCTGATTGGTGCGTATCGGTGTTTGTTTTCGCGTGCGCAATTTAAACTCGACCGACTCCTTCTACCCGCTGTCCTGATAGCGATAATTAGTTTGGTGTGTTCGCGCTGTAACATTTTGCGCTCAACCTGTCGAGCATTTCAGTTGTATAAAGTCCGCCGGCACGGTATTCCGTGTGAAAAAAAGGTGTTTGTGGCGCGGCGCGCTACACACATGAGGAGGGCTCTGGAACACAGTCACCAGCGATCACGTGATGCAGAAGCCGGGCACAATGATGGTTTTCCGCGACATAATTGACGGCACCACGCGCACACGACGCGCTGTTGAATGCGCCGCCACCAACAAGTCAGATGATGCAAGAGTCGAGTCAGTCAAACCCAGGGCCCTAAACTCAAGCAAGGCAAGCACATGCCTTTGTGATTTGCATATTCCGCTACCTGTGTTTGGGTAGGAAATTAACTCTCAGCTGAAATGGGAGGATTCTGACCAAACAACGCTCAGGATTTCTTTATGCGAAAAAAAGGGATGAAATTGCCTTGGCGTCAGTTGGAAGCCAAGAAATTCGGAGTACCGTGGCCGGGATTACTGACCCAGATTCCGCAGCTGACATCGCGTTGCTGGCGAAAAACTGGGACAGGTGTGTCCAGTAAGGGGGGTTGATCACCACACGAGACTTTTGCGCAGCCAGATTGCGTTGCTATATTGAAAAACACAGTTGACAACCACGGCAACTGGTGGTTTGAGCGACGAAATTTCAATGGAATGTGATCCATCATCAACCGGACCGCCTCCACTGAATATGACAGGTCAAGGAGGTTGTGGTTGGGTGGATTTAAAGTGCCAAAGCGGTGATACACTGAAAATAAAACTCTCAAGTGCTTGGTGTTGGTAAAAAGCAGAACTCCTGTAACGATGTGGATTTTCAGCACAGATTACTAGATGCTAGATAATAGCTCCGTTTTGGAGGGTGAGTTTATGACACAGCGCCCAGGATTAAACGTGTGGAAAGCAGCCACGGTGACACAAAAGGATTTTGATAAATGTAAGGATTACAGGCTTAAACATCTAGATTTCATCATTGAGATCCTACGTATGTGTGCATTGGGAACCAATAAGAAACTTGGTTGTGATATGAAGTGGTTGTGTTGTGAAAAATTGGAAATTTAAAAAAACCTTGCACACTATCGCCTTATAGACTGAATCACACGTGGGCTTGCAGACGATTTTGCCTTGACAGTGGTAAGTTTGGCTGCGGGGATTATTTAAGGCGTTGCACAATATGATAAAATAACCTGCTGCTAAACAGTCACGTTAACCGGATAAGATTGTCTTGGCGCCGTGTTCAAACTGCGCTGCATCTGACTAAGGTGTAAACATGCAAAAAACAACAAAAACGCCCGTTGAATTCCGGCTCATGTGACTACCTGATTTCAGCGTCTGGGGTGTGATTGGCACAGACCATTCCAGACGTCTGGCATGTGTGCGCGTGTGTACACACCAGGTGTTGCTTTGATCTGGTCCCTTTGTTTTACTAAACCGCCTCGTTTGATGAGCGCCTTTTCGAATTCCTCAGCGCATTACCTGAGCTTTCGAGTTATCGATCTCGATGCGTTTGGCTAACCAATAGAATCAAGGCGTTGTAAGTGAGCAATTCTTAGGAGCAAGCGGTTCAATTTTGGCTGTTGTCCTAACTCAATTACGTGTGTGCGCACATAATACCCACTCAAAATTGTCATAAATGGTCAAGATTAATAAAAGGCACGTCCGTTTTTTAACACACACACAAGCTAGGGCTCAAAAGTCAAACGAAGGGTGCATGAGAGCTGCGTACTAACGGAAAATCGATAAAACGTGAGTTCTAATCAGTGTGTGTGTGTGGCGGTGAGTTGTGATCTGGATCCAGCCGAGTGAAGAAACGAACCCACATTCAGACAACTTAGAGACCTGGATTCAGGCATTGGATCAGAAGGAATAGCACAGATTTGCCGACAACGCGAATAGCTCACCGTTTTTCTGGTATGCTTTATTGTCACATTTCTAGGCGACCTCGTGGGTGGTTAATTTTCACAAGACTAGATGAAGACCACAAAACGGCTTTTGTATTCGTTTTTCCGTGGCTGAGGAAAAATGCTGTTGTGGCATAATTAGCCGATGACCTTGAAGCCAGTGCAATAACAGTGCTAAGGTGCAATCTCTAGCTTTTTCATCAAGGGCAAGAATTAGGGCCTGCATTTCAGCAGTCTTTGAAAATGCTCGATTTAGACCTCAAACTAGAAGCTGTGATTAAGAGAACCGTGAGTAGTTAGTATAGCCAATCGTCCAATCATGGCGGTCTTGATTGATCGCTGGACGGATTCGCAGGTGGGCGTTGTGTTGATCGCTTCGTTGCTATTGGTCAGAATAAAATTCGTCGGTTTCTGTGAAACGCCTGGCATTTGCATGGAACCGCGTCATAAGGACACATGTATTGAATTACCGTTCCAATAGTTGGCATTCAACACCGCAAATACCATACATCTCTTTGCAATATTGAGGTACAGTATGTTGAAAATGCCCAATTGTTTAAATTGACAGCCACAAACCAATTACTCACGGTTGGCCTCTACCAAATGTCAAAAACTGAAAAGCACAACACAGTGACAATTCCTTCAAAACAAACACGACACTATCGAAAGTGAATTAAACGACATGTGTTTTTTTTCCCGAGAGCCGTGCGCCAGACTTCCTGTCGGTCTTGTGGTACAATGACAACGCTATGCGTCTACAACCCAAACTACAGGTGAATTACCACTTGAAATGACGCGGTACGCCTTCAAGGAGGATGTGCAAGGCGGTAGAGGTTAAATTTAAAATGCGCACACACGTTAACATCACAAGATCAGCGTGTATTGCGCTGCAATCTGACGAATTTATTAAGTGGACGGTTGCTCCAGAGATGGGATTGCCTTGGTGGATGAGTTAAGCTCTGTTTTGAGGCTACAAAAGGCAACAAGTTGCCTACTGACCTCTGGTAAGCGTTGGGTCGATGTTGTGGTTGAATCAAACGAATAAAAACGGCTGAAATGTGGACACGATAATCGAACAGAACAGCGGTCGCTTCAGCAACCGGTATTTTACGACAAACAGTCCCCTCGCCCATGAAATATAATGCCACTTCTTAACCCCCAGTGTTTAGTCACGGTTATCCCCTGAGCACTTTAGAAATGCGCTTTTAATCGGTTGTCCACCGCGGCACATGGCGCTTTGTACTCTAATTATTGCCTGTTCAGGAGCCAAAATGATGTGATGACGGCCTCAGACCAGGGGCAGACGCGGACAGACACACGACGCGTGAGCAGGGCCCCGCCGACACACACGAGAGCCACCGGAAGAACTCAGACAAAACAGCCAATTACGAAAATCTTATTTAAATTGGCGCAAGCATTAGAATGTGTGGT